TCGGCGCCGGCATCCAGGAAGGCATTGTGGATGGCGGCGATGATGTCGGGCCTCGACACGACCAACAGGTCATTGTTGCCCTTCAGCTCCGCTGTGTGGGTCTTGTACCTGGGTTGCCGATGGCAAGGGAGGGCATGAGCATTCGTGGCTTTTCCCGTTTCCCCGCCTCTCCAAGCGAACCCAGCCGAGCATGCTCTGCACGTTGTGTGCAACCCTCGCCCCTTCCTCTCACCGGTCGCCCTTGAAGTCATCCTCTGTCAGCTTCCACTTCTGGATCTGGGTGCCCATGGCGCCATCGATGAAGCAGATGCGCGACTCCAGCAGCTCCTCCAGCTGCTCAAAGGCCTCGGTCCTCCTCATCCTGTCCACGTAGGGTGTGTACTCGGGCACGAGGGGCAGGTGGGCCTCGGGCGCCAGGGTGTCCACGCCCGGCGCGATGGGGTTGACCCTGGGCGGCAGGCTTGCCAGCGCGCTCTCCTCCTTCAGCCGCCGTACGGCGGTGGGGGGGGACTTGGGGTCCAGCAGCGCGGCAAAGTCCAGCAGGCGCTCGGTGGAGTCCTCGCGCCGGTTGAGCAGCACGTCCTCCACGTAGCCGAGCAGCTCCTTGTCGATCAGCTCGTACTTGTCGGCAATCACCTTGAGTAGGGGGGGGAGGGGAGGAAGGTCATAGCTTGCTGAGGAAATGGGGCCCAGAAAACGCATGCAAGGCGTGTGCCCTGGACAGGCCATGCTCACACTGGCTGCACAGCCATATCCACCGGCCTTCCTCCCTCACAAGCCCCACCCCACCTGGGCGGCATTCACGATGCCCATGTCCATCCCCGCCGCGCAGGCGTGGTGCAGGAAGGCAGAGTGGAAGGCGCGGCGCACGGGCTCGTTGCCGCGGAAGGAGAAGGCGATGTTGGACACGCCGCCGCTGACCTTGGCGCCGGGGCAGACCTTCTTGATCTCGCGCGTGGCATTGATGAAGTCCACGGCGTAGTTGTTGTGCTCCGCTAGACCCGTGCCAACCGTGAGGATGTTGGGGTCAAACACCACATCTTGGGGATCGAAGCCCACCTCATTCACCAAGATCCTGTAGGCACGCAGGCAGATGCGGACCTGCATGGTGGGATGCAAGGGGGCAGGTGGAAAGGGAGGTGCCGGGAGGGAGCCACAGCTGCTGAGCTGTGCATGCTCCACGAGGTGCACACCAGAATTGATCCTCCGCCTGCTCCAAAGCCTCCCCACCTTGTCCTCGAAGGTGGCAGCCTGGCCCTCCTCATCAAAGGCCATGACCACGACTGCAGCACCATGTCGCTTCACGATCGCGGCATGCTCCCGGAACTTGGCCTCCCCCTCCTTCATGGAGATGGAGTTGACGATGACCTTGCCCTGCGAGATGAGCAGATGGTGGGTGGAGATTGGTGCGGAGGGCAAGGGACCAGCGGGGTGCTTGGCATATGGTAAACATAGCACCCAGTCAAATGCTGATCCTTGTGTACAATTGCTCCGCCCACCTGGCAGCACTTGAGGCCCGCTTCCACGATGTGGAACTTGGATGAGTCGATCATGAAGGGCACGCGGCTGACTTCCGGGTCAGAGACCAGGAGGTTGACGAAGCGGGTCATGGCACCCACGCCCTCGATCAGGCCATCGTCCATGTTGATGTCCAGAATGTCAGCACCTTGGTTGACCTGCAGACATGGCGATACATCAGCATCGCCTTGGTTGACTAGATGTGTATGCAGTCGACCTGACTTGAACTCACCAATTCCTGAAGCTAGCGCCGGAGATCAGTACCATCAATCCACAAGAGCTCATACCTGCGCCACTGCGATGGCTGCCGCCT